AAATTATGAACAGTTTTAACTGCCTTTTCTTGATGTTTGAGACAAAAATGCTTCAATGCTGCTCTAGAACTCAAAGTAAATGGACTGTACACTTTATAGCTAGAGCAAAACAAGATACTTATAACACCCCCCCCCCCCAGGACGAAACTCACCCGCTGATGGTCTTACCATGTACATGTATTATAAATGAGTTTAAAAATACATCTTTATGTGCAGTTTTTAAATTGTTTAGTTTTTCTTTTCAATAGATTTCAGGACCTTTATTTCTCATATTTATAATAACGTGCTTTTATATGAAATGAAAACTAGAACAGTATACACTTATCCACTGGCTGTGAGTGGGATAGCTCTTTTATCAAACCCGCGACAGGAACTATTCCCCGAGGGCTTGCCCGAGGGGAATAGTTCCTGTCAAGGGTTTGATGAAAGAGCTATCCCAGTCACAGCCAGTGGATAAGCGTTTTATTATACTGATGTATATCATAATTTCTGAGGGTTGGATTTACCTGATACTACAGTTCTATAGTAAAAACATGAAAAAAAAAATTATAAAAGTCTTGACAAGTATCTCGAATAAGATAACACTGCTAGAATGAGCTGAAATCCTGATGACGTCACAATGCTACTGAAGTCAGGATGACATCATAAGTCTATAGATTGATTACAGGAAATCAAAATTGGCGGCAAAAATTGCATGAAAATTTTCCGAGGGGTGGATACCCCGGGGTATAGCTTTGCTATGTGTGGAAATTTTGAGACTATAAAGATAGTTATTTTACTTTCTTAACTTTATATAGGAAACATTTTAACAGAAGTATAATAAATCATGATGTCTTCTTCATTTTGCCGATTCTTTGCTTAGAACCTTACGGGAGTTAAGCTCATTCCTCTATCGGTACTGACCCACTATTGTCACTATCCTTGTTCATCGCAAAGCATGAAATAATATGCTATTGGCTGACTTTCTAAGCTTTTTCAAAAACCTAACCTTGTAACGTACATTATTATAAATGTAATATTGAAAGTAAAGGTAGGAAACAGACTAAATCAAGAAGGGATGTCCCATTTACTAGCTCGAGGGAGTTTGCTTATGATTGGACTAGTTCACTTATGGGATAAATAGTAAGAATAATCAGCAAATCCATTGCTTTAGTGTTGCCTGCCCATATACAATGTGTTCTTTTAAAAATGAGATAAAATTTATTGTTAATAAAAAATCTGAAGCTTAAGAATCAGGTTAAATGAATAAACGTTATTTATTTCCATAGAAGTTATCACACCCATTCAATAAAACAATCCAAGAAAAAGGCGCGAAGATAATTTACATGTGACATTTCGCACGAAATAATTATGTCACCCCTTTTGTAGAAGGCAAATGGACTGATCCAGTAGTTTAGAAACGCAGAAAAAATGTTACACGGACATGCCCGTACAAAGAATCGCAAAGATTAAACATGTGCATGCCAAAAAAACTGAAGGAATGTATGAACATGGGACTTGTTAGATTTGTTAATTCTGTGACAGTAAACTCAACTAAAACAGATTCCACTGCAGACAGTGTACTAGACATGGAGACTGTTTTGACACAGTTTAAGAATATCTTTGAAGGGTAAGGGTTATTTCCAGGGGAATGTACTATCCATATAGATTCTGATGCTATACCTGCTGTCCACCCCGATCGTAGAATACCACAAGCTTTGGGTGACAGGGTAAAAACCGAGTTAGACCGGATGGAGTAGTTACAGGTCATCACTAATGTCGATACCCCCATATGTTAGGTAAACTCCATGGTTGTTGTGGAGAAGCCATCTGGAGCTTTACGAATCTGTCTTGACCCTAGAGATTTGATCAAGGTCATTCATAGACCCCATTACCCCCTTAAAACTCTCAATGATATTTTACCTAAGCTATCTGGTGCACGTTATTTCACCAAACTTGACGCACGATCAGGTTATTGGACAATTAAGCTTGACGACGATTCTAGCTATCTTACCACTTTCAATACCCCCTACGGTAGGTATCGCTTCCTCAGGTTACCTTTTGCCCTTAAATCTGCGCAGGATGAATTTCAAGATTGACTACTGTTATGCAGGCCTCAAAGGCGTTGTTGCTATAGTCGACGACATTTTTGTGTACGGTAAGACCCGTGCTGAGCATGATAGCAACTTAAAAGCTGCTCAACAGCGTACAAGAGAAATGGGCATCAAGCTCAATGATGAGAAGCTCGACGTAGGTCAGTCGCAGGTCGAATACTTTGGTCACTTGCTTTCTGCAGATGGCATCAAGCCAGATCCTAAAAAGGTCTCTGCGGTTAAAGACATGAAACCACCTGAAAATCGTAACGAACTTGAAACAGTGCTGGGTATGGTAAACTTCCTATCCAAATTTGCACCAAACTTGGCTGATATTACTAGCCCCATGCGACAATTGTTGTTGAAAAGGTCTGAATTTGTTTCGGGCCCAGCCCAAGAAGAGTCTTTTGCTAAGATCAAGGACATAATAACAAGGTCACCAGGACCAGTATTGGCTTATTTTGATCCTAGCAAAGATACTGTATTGCAAGTCGACGCCTCCAAATTTGGTCTTGGAGCTACCCTCTTACAAGAAGGCAAGCCTGTTTCTTACGCCTCTAAATCACTTACCCCATCAGAAATTATTTATGCACAGATAGAAAAGGAAATGTTAGCCATTCTGTTTGTGTGTAAGCAATTTCATCATTACATATTTGGGCGTGAGGTGTGCATTCAAACAGACCACAAGCCATTAGTATCTATTATGCAGAAGTCTATACTTACTCCCTACCCGCTTACAGCGCATGATTCTTCAATTGCAGAGATACAACCTTAAGCTTGTTCATGTTCCAGGGAAACAGATCCCTGTAGCAGATAAACTTTCTAGGAAGTACTTACCTTATACAATGCCAGAACTTTCCAAGGGCATTAAGGCTCAAGTACATTTGGTTCATGAAAACATACAGGTCAGTGATCGTTGTCTAGAGCAGATTAGGTTGTCTACAGAATCGGAACCCCAGTTTCAAACCTTAATTATTTTGGAAGGATGGCCAGATTCGCGCAGAGATTGCCCGAACCCCATAAAGGTATACTGGAACTTCCGCGATGAATTGTCAGTAGAGAATGGGCTCATTATGAAGGGTTTTAGAATTGTCATTCCCCGTGACCTCAGGACTGAGCTCTTAAAAATATTACATGTGGGACATACTGGTGTCGAAAAAACCCTGAGAAGGGCTCGTGACATAGTTTTCTGGCCAGGACTTACGAAAGACATTACAGACCTAATTCTGAACTGTAATGTCTGTTTAGAAATTAGGAATTCCAACTCTAAGGAACCTTTGCAGTCTCATGTAATTCCTTCATACCCCTGGCAAACAATTGCCTCAGATCTCTTTCTTTGGGATGACAAGGACTACTTCTGTTTGTTGACTATTACAGTAGGTATTTTGAAGTTTTCAGGCTAACCAATACTCATAGTTCCACCATCATCTCGAAATGCAAAGAAGTCTTTGCAAGACATGGTATACCTGAAAAATTTATTTCAGACAATGGTCCACAATATTCAAGTTATGAATTTGCTGATTTTTCTATGGAGTGGAATTTTCAGCATGTCACTTCAAACCCAAGATACCCTAGATCTAACGGTCTCGCTGAAAGGACAGTACAAACCATAAAGGGCATTCTTACCAGGTGTGAGGCTGACCGACAAGACATTAATTTGGCCCTTCTGACATACAGGACTACTCCTTTGGACATAGGGCTTTCCCCATCACAACTTTTAATGTCCAGAAGACTTACATGTAGGTCTAACATCCCTATTGTTCAGGAAAGTCTCAAACCCTTTCATCATGACACAGATAAGATAAGGGTAAGCTACAAGTCAGCCATGACAAATCAAAGTTCTACCATGATAGATCAGCTCATCCTCTTAGACCTCTCAATGCTGGTGATTTAGTTAGGGTTCAGCCAAATGATAAAAATGGTCCCCAGCCATTATAATGCAACCACATGGGAACAGATCTTATTTGGTCAAAACACCTGCTGGTTCTTTGTATAGGCGCAACAGGAGATTTCTCCTTAAAACAAATGAGGCTCCCCAGCCAGGAGAGCTTGCTCTTCCCCAGTATGATGTTTTCAAACATGAGCCTTTGCCAGACAATACCCCAATTTTGAATTCTGGTAATGATGTGCAACCTGGGGAAAATCCTGACACAGGTAACACACCTTAGCCTCCAGAGCAATCTACACCATATGTAACTAGGTCTGGTAGAGTTGTAAAACAAAAAAAATTATTCCCTCTATGTAATCAAATTGTCAGTCAATTGTTATCTGAATTATCAAATCAGTCTACACTAATTGCATATATGTATGTTCAAAAAACATTGTTGATATGTTCTAGAGGGTTATCGGACTTTTCCGGAATTTAGATTCTTTGTCATACTTGTTCTATCTTTTATTTTATCGAGGACACATGCTTTCCTAGGTATGCATAGTATGCATGTTTACTTATTGATCATTTGATAATTCCATCATTTTGTACTTATTGAATTTACTATTGTTGTTTAATGTTTCAGATGACTGTGTTCATTGTTATTAAAGTCGATCCCTGAAACAAATAGACATAGTTCTTATCTATGAACACAGTCTACTTTCACTTTCCATATACGATGCCGAAAGTCAAGTGTCCTATCCCCGACTGTGAATATGAAACCGCCGACCTCGACGCAGCGATTGTGGCCTCACTACTTACAGTTCACAGTACCATTCACTCATCTCAACACGCACCTACTGCTAAGACAGAGAAAGTCAAACGCCCTTCCATATCAGCAGCCGGTACGAGTGAGGAATGGTCGTACTTCACATCAAGATGGTCCGAATACGTCAGCGCCACGAAAATTGAAGGCCGTGACAGAGTGGTTCAACTTTTGGAATGATGTGACGAACCACTCAGGAAGGACCTCACACGATCTACTGGTGGCAGCCTGACAGATGAAGCTGAGGACACTACTTGCAGCCATCAAAAAGCTCGCTGTACGTGAAGAAAACTCCATGGTGGCTAGAGTCACACTTCATAATATGCGTCAAGATAGGGATGAACCTGTGCGCAATTTTTGTGCGAAACTTCGTGGACAAGCGGGAGTCTGCAAATTTGTAAATACATGCCCCAATTGTAACCATGAGGTAAATTATACTGACACTATAGTCCGAGATGTACTTGCTAGAGGCATAGCTGACCCTGACATTCAACTTGACCTCCTCGGGGACAAAAACCAAAACATGACATTAGAGGAAGTCACCCAATTTGTTGAAGCTAAGGAAGCAGGAAAACGATCAGCCTCTCGACTATTGGACTCTCACGCTGTAGAAGCAGCTAAAAGTTCATACAAACGGACAAAGCAAACATCACTGAAGGATCAAAATGAAACATGCTCCTACTGTGGAAAAAGAGGTCACGGCAGACATGCACCAGCCCGCACCCGCAAAATGGAATGTCCTGCCTATGGTCACAAGTGTGAACATTGCAACAAGGACCACCACTTAGAGACTGTCTGTCGGAGCAAACACAAGGAAAACCTCCCTACAGCCTCTCCAAATACCCACAACTATGAGAGTGGTGTGTTCGAATCCCTGTGCGTCTTATCTGATGCTGCCTGCAATCACCCCTCAAACAAAACGATTGCAATAGATCATCACCTTTATGACCAACTATCAGACACATGGATCAGAAAGCGTTCCAAACCGCAACCTTTCATCAATGTCATTATCAAACTTTTACCCGAGGACCACAAAGCACTGGGTTTCTCATTGAAGGCAACAACAAAAACCATAAAACTCCCAGCTATGGCTGACACAGGATGTCAAAGCTGCCTCGCTGGAATTAAGGTCATCCACAGGCTTGGACTTACAAAATTAGACCTCATCCCGGTGACAATGAAGATGCACGCTGCCAACAATGGGGGCATAAAGATCCTCGGAGCAACCATCCTCCGCATATCTGGAAGAGACAACAACGGCAAAATAGTCGAAACTAGACAGATGACATATTGACTGACAATTCTGATAAACTATTCCTCAGCAGAGAAGCTTGTGTTGCACTTGGAAACATACCCGACACCTTCCCCTTCATTGGTAACTGTAGTGAGAACATGATCACAGCAGATTCATCTCCAGACACAGAACTGCCATTGTCCGAAGCGACAGCTTCCGCCGCCACTCCCAACAACACTCCCATTTGCAGCAACCGGGGACAATCGACTTAAACTCCGTGATTTCCTACTGAACCACTACAGATCTAGTACATTCAACACCTGTGAACATCAACCATTACCACTAATGAGAGGACCTCCCATGCGCCTGATGGTAGAACCTGGTGCTACACCCGTCGCTCACCATACACCTGTACCTGTTCCTATTCATTGGCAAGAGGAAGTCAAGGCAGGACTGGATCAAGACGTACAGCTCGGAGTCATAGAGCCCGTACCCATCGGCGAACCTGTCACATGGTGCCATAGGATGGTTGTGTGCGCAAAGAAAAATGGCAAGCCTCGCCGCACTGTAGATTTTCAACCTCTTAATGCATATGCTACCCGTGAAACCCATCACACCCCTTCACCATTTCATCAGACCAGACTTGTACCTCACGGCAAGAAGAAATCGGTCGTAGATGTTTGGAATGGATACCACAGCGTTCCTCTCCACCCAGACGACCGCCACCTCACAACATTCCTTGGGGCAGATATCGCTACAAGACCGCTCCACAGGGATACATTGCGTCGGGCGATGGCTACACTAGAAGATATGATGAGATAGTTGCACATATCCAGAACAAGACAAAATGCATTGACGACGTTCTGCTTTGGGCTGATTCTCTCGAGGACAACTTCTTCCAGGTGGCAAAGTGGCTAGACATCTGTGAACAAAATGGCATCACCCTCAACCCAGAGAAATTCCTGTTTGCACAAGACACTGTCGAATTTGCAGGCTTCGAAATCACTTTAAACAGCGTCCGTCCATGTGCAAAGTACTTTAACGCCATCATGGATTTCCCAACCCCTCAGAACATAACTGACGTACGCTCTTGGTTTGGACTTGTCAATCAAGTTTCATATGCATTTAGCATGGCAGAAAAAATGAATCCTTTCCGACAACTACTCAAGCATAATGCACCATTTGAATGGACCACCGAGCTCCAAAATCTCTTCCAACTATCCAAGGAGACCATCATCAAAGAAATTGAGCATGGCGTGAAAATATTTGATTGCAGCAAACCTACTTGTTTAGCTACAGATTGGTCAAAAACTGGTATTGGGTTCTGGCTGTTCCAAAAACACTGCACTTGTCCTGGACAAGAACCCTTTTGCTGTACCTCAGGCTGGAAAATAACGCTCGTCGGGAGTAAGTTTAACCACCCAGCAGAATCCAGATATGCACCCATAGAAGGTGAGGCTCTTGCTGTAGCAGATGCCTTAGATAAGGCCAGATACTTTGTCCTTGGATGTAAAAACCTCATCATTGCAGTTGACCACAAGCCACTCTTAAAGATACTTCGAGACAGGTCCCTAGAGGATATCCCAAATTCCCGCCTCCGGAACCTGAAAGAAAAAACACTCCGTTACCGCTTTCGTGTAACCCATATACCAGGTGTGAAGCACCGTGCAGCTGACTGCCTCTCACGCCACCCAGCAGGAAAACCCGAGCAACTGCACTTACCTGATGACATAGCTTCCATCAGCTATGCTCTTCCACCATCCTATTTCCTTGCTGGTATACGCTCCAACGTTGACCCTGACAGCATGGAGGATAACTTAGTTGCTGCAGTAAACACAATGCTTGAATCTCTATCCATTCAATCAGTAACGTGGGACAGAGTTCGCATAGGCACTACAAGTGATGCCATCATGCACCATCTACTTCAACTCATTGAATCAGGATTGCCAGAGACCAGACTTGAATTTCCCCCTGCCCTACGGGAATACTTTCAGTTTCGAGAACATCTCCACTCTTTAGACGGAGTCATCCTCTACAAGGACCGCATCGTTATACCACCCTCACTTAGGCGGGAGATCCTATCAGTCCTACACTCTGCCCATCAAGGGGTAACTGCGATGACTTCCAGAGCTGAAGCCTCCATCTTCTGGCCAGGAATTACGCCCGATATCACTTCTCTTCGTGCACAGTGCATTCAGTGTAACCGCAATGCACCATCCAACCCTAGCGCTCCACCAACCCCACTCATTTCCCCAGACTATCCATTCCAATGTCTTTGTGCTGACTTTTTCCACTACAGGGGGACATATTACCTTGTGATTGTTGACAGATATTCCAACTGGCCGATAGTCGAGAAATCGTCCGAGGGAGCAGCTGGTCTGATCAGTTGCCTTAGGCGTACATTCGTCACCTTCGGCATCCCAGATGAACTCGCCACAGACGGTGGTCCAGAATTCACAGCTACAATTACACGACGCTTCCTAAAGGATTGGGGTGTACATCACCGACTATCATCTGTAGCATTCCCACACAGCAATTGCCGAGCGGAAGTTGGAGTGAAAACAGTAAAACGCCTTATCACAGACAACACGGCTCCTAATGGTGACCTAAACACTGACCTGTTCCAACGTGCAATGCTCCAGTACAGAAATACACCTGACAGGGACACCAAGTTGTCTCCAGCTATGTGTGTGTTCAACCACCCTATCCGGGACTTCATCCCCATCCCACCGGGAAAATACAAGCCTCACAACACTTGGCAGGAGACTATGATTGCCAGAGAAGAGGCTCTTCGCATCCGCCACATGCGTTCAGCATAACGCTGGATGGAACATACCAGGCGCCTTCCACCACTGAGCATTGGTGTCCGCATCCAGAACCAAACAGGCCCGCATCCTTTAAAATGGGACAAGACTGGAATTGTCATAGAAGTCAGTCAGTTTGACCAATATGTTGTCAAAATGGATGGCTCAGGGAGGGTTACCATAAGAAACAAAGTTCTTAAGGAAATTTATACCTGTGAGAACACCTGTACCTACCAAGACGATCGACACTGATTTACTCCACAAAACAACATGCATGTCTCCACGGGAACAACATAAAGAACTTCCCCATGACAGAGGGCCAGTTGCCAATCCATCATTAAACCATAATGACGTAACACCAGTGCCTACCCAGACACCTCCAAAACCTCGTCCCGTCACACCCCCCTCGCCAATGGTTCCTGTTGAAAAGGAAGCTGGTCCGCTGCTTCCCGCATTGCCTGCCACCCGAGAACCCCGGCGCTTGTTCTCCAATAACGACACAGAGTTCCATAAGGAAACCAACGATACGACAAGTCCTCCAGCAGCTGAGTCCGAACCAGCACCTCGCCGTTCTGGACGCGTAACACATGCCCCAAAATGGCACGCTGACTATGAAATATAGTAGCTTTTGACTCTCAGTCTTTTTCTTTAATTTCATTTCCCAAAAGACTTGGGGGGAGATAGAGGGTTATCGGACTTTTCCGGAATTTCGATTCTTTGTCATACTTGTTCTATCTTTTATTTTATCGAGGACACATGCTTTCCTAGGTATGCATAGTATGCATGTTTACTTATTGATCATTTGATAATTCCATCATTTTGTACTTATTGAATTTACTATTGTTGTTTAATGTTTCAGATGACTGTGTTCATTGTTATTAAAGTCGATCCCTGAAACAAATAGACATAGTTCTTATCTATGTTCGTTGTGAATCAAAACATTGTCTACAGCTTTAGACACTTATGATTTCAACTTGAATTTGTTTAATGCAGTATGATGATTTGTACATGAATTAAGTGAATTTGATTTCTTTGTTAAAAGGGGAGATGTTACATTATCTTGCTAATTTTGTTATAAGAGTTATCCCCCTTAGATATTGATTTTTTACATGTACTTTGTTTGAGTATGCGCCAGGCGCCAGTTGTGATTTCCGTTCTGAAATACAGAGACCTGTACAAAAAACGTGCTCCTCGACTTGTTATCATTTATCAGTGTATTGGATCTTTACATGCAAAAAATAAACATAACAGGAACTGCAATCGGAACAAATGTTGCACCAACATGCGCAACACTTATCCTTGGTTACCTAGAATGCAATCTACACCACCAAATCATAAGGTTATGGGGAGCAGAAATAGCCAATAGCCTTAAATCTAAATGGAAAAGATTCCTAGATGATTGCTTTATTTTGTCAACATTGTCTTTGTTTGTAAGGCTCATTATATTAAATGTATTTTAGAGGAACTAGGATTTAATTCTACTAGTGGTAATCCAACATACTCATAGTTCCCTTTCTAAGGAAGAAATTCTTCAAAATCATATGTCAGTTTTGAATATTTTTAATATTCCAAACAACCAAAATGAATTTGAATTACCATATTTATATTGGATTCCGAAACTTCATAAAAATCCTTACAAACAAAGATACTAGCGGGTTCCAGGAAATGTTCAACCAAGCCCCTTTCTTTACTCCTCACTAAGATATTAACAGTAGTGAAGGAGAAACTTCAAGAGTACTGTGCAACAGTATATTCGAGAAGTGGGGTAAATCAGATGTGGATACTTAAAAATTCCAAGGAACTTTTGGAAAATTTGAAATCACAAGATTTTAGCAAAATTAACAGCTTAAAAACTTACGACTTTTCAACTTTATACACAACCATTCCCCACGATAAATTGAAGTCCAGGCTTTTTGATATCATTGACAGCTGCTTTTTCAATAAAAATGGAACTCGTAAATTTACTTACCTTGTCATTGGTCATTTGCAAAATTATTTTGTTAAAAAACATTCTGCATGATTGTACACACAAGTACTCTGAAGTTGACATTAAAAAGATGCTTGAGTTTCTGATTGACAATATCTATGTGGTTTTTGGAGACCAGGTCTTCCGACAATATATTGGAATTCCCATGGGTACCAATTGCGCCCCGTTATTAACAGACCTTTTTTTGTATTCATATGAAGCAGAATTTGTCCAAAATCTTGTACGTGAAAAGAAAAAAACACTTGCTGTGGCCTTCAACTCGACATTTAGATATATCGACGACGTATTGTCAATTAACAATGGCTATTTCCATTCTTATATCGGTACGATATATCCTTGTGAACTTGAGATAAAAGATACCACAGAGTCTGACACATATGTTTCATATGTGGATATTTTACTTGAAAAAGACGTTAATGGTAATCTAACAACCAAGCTTTATGATAAACGTGATGACTAACTTTTCAATCGTCAACTTCCCTTACTTATGCAGCAATATACCTTCATCACCTGCATACGGGGTATATATCTCTCAGTTGATTCGATACGCAAGAGCATGCTCTACGTATGTACAATTTCTTAAACGAGGTAAATTATTGACAAACGAGTTGATGAAACAAGAATATCAGCTGTCTCGTTTAAAGTCATCATTTCGTAAGTTCTGTGGTCGATACAATGACCTTGTCAGCAAATACAATTTATCATTGAGTCAAATGCTGACTGAGGTTTTTCATACAAATTGTTAGGCCATTATTTACACACTGAATTGTCGACGGATTTTCCCATATTTCCCGATCATGACAAGGAGCACACGTCGGGTGTGACCGGTCGGCAGGGGATGCTCACTCCTCCATGGCACCTGATCCCACCTCTGATGTTTGGAGGTCCGTGTTTGCTCTGCTCCTATTTTGTATTGTTTGTCGGACTTTTGAGCCTGAATACTGTGTTCGTTATCTTCATATATTTCATTTATGGAATGAAAGCGTCGAAAAATTAGAAGTCTTCCATAAAATATTAAATGAGTTGAGTGCCAACATCATCTTTACATTAGATACCACTGAAAATGAATTCCAATACCTTGATGTTCTCATTATTAAAAAGGACACAAGGATTGTTACCGATATATATTACAAAGTGACGGATACTTACATTTTGATTCTTGTCATCCATATACTAAAACATCCATTCCTTATAACCTCGCCAGACGTATATGCACCATTGTCAGTGAAAAAGATACAAGGGACATTCGTTTATGTGAACTTAAAACCTATCTTTAAAATACAGAAATATTCAGTCCAACTTATAGATAATGGAATACTTAAAGGCAATGAACATGAAAGATCAGAATTATACTTTTAACCAAAGGACGTGAAGATAACTAGAATATAATTCCCTTTGTACGCAGGTATGTTAAGGCAGCACATAGATCATTATTCGGAAAATAAACACTTTTTTGTAAAATGTAACATTGATAAATCGGAAAAACCATAGATAAATCATTTACTATTTATTATCCATTGTATAGACGTCATTGAATCCTAGACTAAAAGAAGCACTCCACTTCAACGTCATCAGTCGCCCGCGTGGCGCAGTGGTTAGAGCGTTCGCTTTAGAGTCGCGGAGTAAGGAGTTGATCCTTACGTCGCGGGTTCGAATCCCACTGCGGGACGTGGAGACCGGTGTTGGCACGAAAAAGATTAGATTCCTCAATGGCCCTGAGTGCCGAATATAGGTTCAAATTTGCAGCTCTCCACCGGCAAGTGGTGGCGTCTGGATCTGGGTGAAAAATTCTGAAGGGGGACATTAAACAAACAAACGACGTCATCACGTGAATTTTATAAATAGAAAAGTTGCCTTAATAAATAATTGAAAGGTTCAACACTACCCAGGGATAATTCATTTCTCTTTGTAGAAATAATTATGTAAAACATCACTGGGTCACGAAAAGTGCAGCTAGAATCTTGCTTTCCTTTTACAGAAAAAATTCTTCCAAAGTCTAGCTTGAAACCTTACCAAAATTTTTACATTTTGTACATACGATCGAGGAATTTTTATCAATTCATGTTAATCACTCAATTCTAGCAGCACTTTCCAAGTACTATAGAATACAACCTTCCGATATACTCTAGATTCCTAAATAAAAGCGAGGAATAAATATCCGCGAGAAGATTCACTCGCGGATTCTAAAATCACGCTTTCATTTGCTCCGATATTGATGTGTTCAATGGAATTATTATGCGTGAACTATATGGTTGTTTGAAGTATCACAAATAGATCGGCCAAGCTTGCGTAGTTAACCGATTTAAAAGTATATTTCACTTAGATCTATTTCAAAAGATCTATTTTTATGAAAATAATTATCTATTAAATATTTAATTTATGATTATTTACAATTCTAAACTTTCAATGTTATCACAATATACATGTACTACTTTAAAAAATCGATCGACATTTCACAATTTCAAGAGAGATAACTCCCGATTCAAAAGACAGAAAAAATAAAATAACTTTATTTTAAAGTACATGTATATATAAGTAAAACCAATCAAGTAAACCAAGCAGTGATTTGATAGCTGTTTTTTTTTAAATTATTGAAATTAAGTGCCTAGGTCACTTAATAGTACATAACTGATCAATTGATACCGGCCATTGTCCAAGCCTTTCTGATCAGGTCAGGATTTTCGGCTATTAATTTCTTGGGAGGCTTTTGTTATCCATTTGGCGTGCAGGGGTTTCACAACCGAAAGTCTGAGGTCAATTTTAACACTCTCCACTGACACACCTTTTTTAATTTGCTAGGCCACCGTGTTTGCGTAAAAATGTTCAAATTGTGATTTCATGCTTTGTTTGAATGGGCCGTTAATTGCTACATTTGTAAGTCCAGGGGCTGTAATTGATCTGCACAGCTGGCCGGCACAAATACAACATGGTTATTATTTTTTTTAAGTTTGTTGAGTAACCGCGATGTGCAGCGTATACGTCAAAAATACATAGAGCATGTTGTTTTAGAGGGAGGTCTTCGTCTTCT